AAAACATCAAGTTATTAAAGGGTCTTACATCTGATGAAACTGAAACTTCAGAAGGATTGGTAATTTCTTATTTTGGAAAATGATGACGTCACATGAAAGGCGGCAATTCAAACTCTTCCTCTAACAGTTCCAGTACTCTCAGACAACGCGGTCGCTCCTAGGCGAGGAACACTGGTCACTAGGTGAAAGTTGTTGGTCGAAGGGAAGGCGGCGAAAACAAATCGGCGCGTGAATAGAGGCCGATTGAAATCCGAAAAGTACATGGTAATCGACAATGCTTGTCAATTCTGTGATTGAAAAGATAAATATGTTGCCACGATGATCACTTGTGTCAAAGTCGAGAAGTTTGAGCCATTTGGCAAAGCCTTCTGTTCGCAGCATCCATTCGCGAACGCTCAAAGCCAGCCTGATTCGCCTTCGAACCAGGAGGACAAGAACGAATCGGTAAGTGTTGTAAAAACAAATCAATATCCTCTTTAATGCCTAGTATTAAAGCCTGTGCGACTTAACCAGTCAGATGTCTGGGTGGATTGCAATGCGCGTTGAGTTCAACAGGCAGAAAAATTATTGTACCCTCAAACTTCTGGAGCGCACGGATGTATCAAAAAAAATCGATTCGGTCCACGACCCAGTTAGTTTGTAGTGCCTGGAGTAGGAGTAGTACAAACCAAATTGTGTGATCTTTTTGTCTGGTTATTTCCTCCAGTCTCAAACTCGAACTTCAGTTATCTTGGTTTACATGCACGTTGCTTCCATGTTTAATAGTGGTCAGTGCTTGAATTAAGCACAGTGTAGCACGGTCAGCAGAGTATGACAAGTGTATTGGTGTGTAAAACCTCATAATATAATTTGCCCAATTTTGCTCGCACTTTGAAGACACTGACATTTAAACACCTAAGCGAGACAACAAGCATCCCTGAGTTCCCCCCCAACCCATGGGAAATCATCCACCCACTCCAACACGGATGCTGACTACTTTTAAACTTTGTCACAACTGCTTCTTGGCCGCTTCTTGGCGTTTTCAAAGCGTCTGGGAAGAGGATTTAGAACAAGGTTTTGAATGATGAGAAGATTTATACTAAAACAATTAGATTATTCGCTCTCGCTTTCTATGTGTGATAGTTGACTTGGGCTGTGCCCTCGTCAACTATCATGCAGTAGAAATCTCAAGCTATTAATCTAATTGTTTAATAGAAACACTTACTTAAACCAATCAGCATGTATATTTTCTGTGGACTCTTTAGACTTACAAGTGGAAGTTACGGTCACAAGGGGAAAACCCAGACTGCCATGAAGAGGTACATACATGTATGTTATAAATTTTTACATGTATTCTATAGTTCTGGTTAAGAGATCCTATAGCCTATTCAAATGAAAACTCAAGGAGCCTTACAGATTTTGATTTTAGAATTTGATAATGTCTTATGTCATGGTGTAAATAATATACAAGATTTGTATAATGCAGATTATCAGGGCTGTCACTAAGGGGTGTAACCCATAACACCTGTTACGGCTGAGTATGCTTGATTGGCTCTAGATGTTATGGGTGAACTGCCCTGTTGTTGATACAATTCACCTATAAAGTAGCAAGTTTGTTATGGATGTGATGATCAAGTCTACAGGTGAATTAGAACTTAATGACAGCCTTGAATTATTATCTGATTTTTGCCAACTTGGATTTTTTGCCTCAATGCGTAACTATTCTGCCCAATTTTGCAGTATGACTGATAATTATAGAACCCTACTTTGACCTTTTCAGCTATTCATACAAAACAATACCGTTGTTTGGAGTGTTGGAAAGTCACAGAAGGTCAGAACAGTGAAGAAATGTTACACAGCCAAGTTGTCAGTGTTGGATTGTTTGTGGTGTACATTTCATTATCCCTCTGGGAATTCTAGTGGAGATCAGGACACAATGATTACTGGTAGGTATAATGAAATTAATTTAGAAAACAGTCCTAAGAAAATACGCACACTGATTGGTTAAGAGTCGTGTTTCTATAACTCGACAGAAACACAGAACTAGCACAAGCTGTTGATGTAGTGATGGCGTGAGCAAAGAGAATTTGCATTTTGACAATCAAAGTTAACAAGTTGTTTTCATTTTTTCGTCGTGTGGTTTTCTAAAAGAAATAGAAAACATGTTCTCCGTGTTTCTATCAAGTTATAGAAACACTCGTGAAAATTTGGGAGAACTCGAAAATGCTGTGGAAACACTCTCCTGCGGCTCATGTTCCCACAGCATTTCTTGTTCTTCCAAACTTCCATTCGTGTTTCTATAACTCGATAGAAATACGGTACATGTTTTCTATTTCTTAAATGTGCACAACAGGGCTGTCATTAAGTTTTGATTCACCTGTAGCCTTGATCGGTCTTCACACCTGTAACAAACTTGTTACATTGTGTATGAATGATACATGTATCAATAACAGGCAAGTTGTAATATCAAGAGCCATCAAACAAACTTGGCTGTAACAGATATGGGTTGCGGTCCTTATTGGTAGCCCTGTACAGTATGGAGTGTGTATTGTAGTGGGATGGTCAGTTTGACTCTCTTAGAAATATATAAATTATTCACAATAATTACATGATGAATTTATTATTAAATAGTCATAGATTAAATCTCCTTTGATAATTTTAAAAGCTAATTTCTGGTTTCAATTGAATTGAAATGGACATATGAGACTGCATTGGACTGTTGGCTAATAATTTGCAGAAGCAATGTAAAAATTAATTATAAACATTTGATTTTAATTTGTAATTTGCCAGTACAGTACTTTTGTTTACTATAGCAAAATGTGAAGAGAATGAGATCCTAACTTTCACTGCCACTGATGTACACATAAACTGCTGGGGACTCATCAGGCATTAAACATAACTGATGTATAGCCAGAGGAAACCACATCATTTTTTCAGGGCCAATTCTAAATATACATGTTAGCCCATGGGATGGCTCTTATAAATACAGCTGTTTACATAATAACTGAGCTACTTTGGTGGTGCTTATTGGCCGATAGGTGTGTTTAGATGAGACTGTAAACTTGGTTGTGACATTTTAGATTTGGGCAAGATTTTGAGATTGAAATATTTTGTAAAAGCAGCAGAAAATTTGTTCTGTGTTTAGATACATGTAGCCTCATCTAAATATTCAGGGGGCAAGGAGAATTCTCAAAAGTCATGCAAACCCTTGACGGCATCTCGGGTTTGCATAACCAACTTGAATTGTCCCAACCTCCCTCGTGTTTAGACAGGCTATGTAAACTCAGAAAAAGTACTCTGTTGCTTAAATCTAGAGCACTGGGACTTTGGAGGGTGTGATCCCAGGGGAACTGGGACTTTGTGTCTAACTTTGTCATAAATGTATTCCCATTGTCTTAAGAATCTGCATGCTATAATTACAATAATACTACATATATTTATGTGTGAATAAAACTGTGACTTGTCTCCATTTTTAGGTGAACCATTGCATAGCCTTTGTATAGTTCAGAATGACTGCATTGATGTACTGACTAAAGATGGAGCCCTGTTTACCATAACTCTCCCATTTCCAGTTAGTATCAAAAACTGATTGCAGCTTATCTTGCATGTGCAAAGAGACATCTCTTTCTTGAGTGTTCAATCCTCTCATGACTTTGGAGGCATACATGTAATGTACGATGCAATGACAGCACCAATCAGTGAAACTATATGTACATGCATGTGTCTTTGTTGAGCTTTATCATCTATTTAGTACTTACTTAAAGGAGCTCAGTCAGGGTATTTCGAGTTATTTTGGCCACATACAAAATTAACTTTAAATGGTAGGAAACCTGAAAATAACAGTTTAATAAGATAGCAGAGCACAAAATTGCGACTCACTGGTCGCCAATGCAACCAAAAATCAGGTCTTGGCTACCAGATATTAAGAACTAGTC